GTTTTATACCGGGCTTATGCTACTCTTTTACTCTATAACACAACCAATACTAAATACTACAATGCTCGTTGATCGTTCTCCATAAACTATTAGATGCGAGTAAATGTTTGTATGAAGTGTTAGGGTAGAGTTAACCTTGCTCTGAGCTAGGGTTGAATTAACCCTGATGAATCACATAAGTTCAACCCTCCAGGGTTAGTTTAACCCTCACGGTTCGTTGATGAATACGGCCACTGATGAATCAAAACTAGATGCTTTCAAGAAGAATGGAGGGGTCGTCCGCAACGAGAAGTTCTTCTACATGTTTATCGTGGTCGACTTCAACGCAAAGATTGGCATATCACTAGAAAAGGAATATAAGATCGGAAAGTTTGAAATGGACTCTGGAATGAAAAATGCAGTAGTTTCATTAGGCTTCTCTCCACCACACGACTTTTACTGGAAATTCTATCTTCATTAAGAAAAAACTCGCCGGTGAACCCGATGGATATGGAAATCGCCGAATGGAACGCCTCACGCGAAGATCGACCACGTTCTCACCAGCCGAAAGTGGAGCTTGCTTGATGTCTTTAATTCCATCCTTCTGCAGTGGCTCTGATCCTCCTTCGAGCGATGATACGATTCAGTCGCAGGCTGGAAAAGAAAGTCTGTCAATGTGCCTCAAGAAGGAAGGAAGCCGTTTATGAGCGTAACAGCCAGGAAGAGCTCATATCAAGTTGTAACTGGCCCATCATGGGAAACGCAACGTACGACACGACCGCCTTCTGAAAGGATTGCATCAAGGAACGCTCAAAGAAAGAAGATCTTTGAGGCAAAATTCGAATCCATCCCGAGCATAGGTGCGATAGGGGGAGCCGGGCTCTCCTCAGGTGAAGGGGGTCTCGGCTGTTCCCGACCTTCCAGGGTGAAGGGGGTATGTGAGTCTAGGGGGGGAGGAAGAGAGAAAAGGTAAAAAAGCGTGGTATGAAGAGCTCTAATTTGCACCTTATTTAGGCACAAATTGAAAAAAAATTTAAAAATTAAGAAATAAAAAATTTCAAAAAATTGACTTTATGAAGATCTGTGCTCCTGTTTCATTGCATCAACAGAAAACGAAAGCAATAAGGTTTATCCAAAAAGATGTACAAATTAGGAACAACTTCAATTCCTGCACATCATCATCAACAATATTACTATCGCTAACGTCAGAGACAACAAGTTCGCTGCCTGAAAAATCTTCTTCTTCCTCCAAAAGGTCATCGGAGTAGAAATAGAATTGCGTGCAAAAGCGTTCTGAGTCGAAAATGGATTTGAAACTTTCTTCTTTTTCTAAGAGCTTTTGTGGTTTTTTTCCTGACCCTCTGGTAGCACCAGGAAAGTCCGCAGGTAGGTGACCAGTTTTTTCATACCATCTTTTAGGATATTTCAAAAAGTCATACGGTAATAGCCTGTATGGACCACTTATACCAATCCTTTAAATGAAGTTTTTAGATAACAATATGTTCAGTAGAAGGTTGACAAATTAAATAATTGCTTAGATGCTCCATCGTTGTACGAATTCTGCGTTGTCTTCTGATAACAGAGGATAGAAAATTTCTTTCTCCACCTCTGCAGTGCTAGTCGGAATGGAAATTAGCTTTGCTAGTAAGTCCATCAGATTTCTGCGGTAAGTAAAGAGCGAGATCGCATATGCTTTCGCAACGCAAAAAGGGAATATTGCGTACTTTTTTGAGCCTTGTCAAACTCTGGCTTCACCTCCTCTGGCACACGTCTTGTTAGCTGGCGAAAAAGCTGCTCAACTTCTTCTTCAACAGCATCTGCGGAATAGCCGGAAAAAGTAGATACTATGCTGCGCGTTGGTTTTCTTTTCAATATCGTAGGTCATAATGTCACAAGGCGAATAACTTCCAAAAGCATAAAGCACAGAGTTGGGTTTGCACTTCAGTCGGGATCTAAGAGCAGTAGCTATGCTTTGTACTAACACCTTCCCTTTGTCCATATCCATGTTTGTGAATTTAGCAGCTTCGAAATCTTTAGCATGAAGATCAGCAATGGACTTCCTGGACATTCTCATTGAAACTAGGCAATCTGCTTGGATTCCTTATGTAGGAAATCAGAGAGTTTCTCTCAATTGTCAACTCTGTATCAATGTCGACAATGTTTTCGTTGGCGTAAATTCTCCTTCTGCCTCGTTGTTGAACTGGAACACATGCGAGTCATCTGCGATTTTGTGAAGTATTCTACATGCCGTTTCCTCTTCAAACTGCCAACCTTTCCAAAACATTGAAGGATATTTCAATAACATGTTGTTCTCCTGAATGCCTCAAAGTTTTTGATTTATTGAAACGAACCATTCTCTACAATTAGGTGAGTATAGAGCGTTTTCACGAACGTGACCTTCTTCAGCACTAGTTTTACAGAGTATAGATTCCAGAAATGGGCGGGTTTTTGTGTGAAGGTGTGAAAATTCACCAATCTCCCAATCAAAAAAAAACATAAACATACAACAACGATAAGCACACTTAAATAGATGCGTTAGCTCACGTTCCCGTTAGTGCTGATAACGATGTCAATCCCATAGCACATTTTTACTATTAACTTGCTCCACCTCGCTCTTATTGGGTCGTCCCGAAAGTTTTTGCGCACGATTTTCAAAAATTCATAACTTCTGATTTTTCTAACCAATTTGACTGCTTTCATTCTTATGTGAAAGGGTAAGTCATGCTCTTTATAATGGCTTCTCAGCTGCTTAGTAATGGTCATCTGTTGCATAGACAGGAGCGATAGAAGAAAAATGGTAAAAATTTTAATTTTCTGTGTAGGGTCATAAAAAATCGGAGACTTGCAACAAAAATCGGAGCAGTCAGTACTGTAGGATCTTTCACCAGCTCTTCCTAACAGTGCAAAGCTTGCGCCGATTGAGCGTCTCTATGAAAAGTTATGATTTCCCTGAAAAATGCCAAAATAAATCAAATTCGCCTTTTTGTATTGCTTGCTCGGAAATCATAACTTTTCATGGAGACGCTCAATCGGAGCAAACTTTGCACTGTTAGAAAGAGCTGGTGAAAGAACCTACAATACCGACTGCTCCGATTTTTGTTGCAAGTTTCTGATTTTTTATGACCCTACACAAAAATTCAAATTTTGAGTGATTTTGGTTTTGAGCTTCTATCTATGTAACAGATGACCATTACTAAGCAGCTAAGAAGTCATTATAAAGAGCATGACTTACCCTTTCAGATTTAAATGAATGCAGTCAAATCGGTCGGAAAAATCAAAAGTTATGAATTTTTGAAAATCGTGCGCAAAAACTTTCGGGACGACCTATACAATGTGTTGGCTTTTATGGGTCACCGGAGCAAATGATTATTAGAGCCGGGAAGCAAAGAAGCCTCAACATGCTGTATACCATTCGAAAGCTGAGATTATGGAGAATCGACGTAGACCGTCGACTTTTTTCTAGGTCTTCTGTACCGCGAGATATAAGGGATTTTATGTGCTTCAAAAATTAACTGATTTTGTGTCCTCACTTTCTGCTCTCTAAATGAATGCTACGAGAATGTCGACGGTCTACGTTTGTTAATGAAGACTTGCTCTTTAACACAAATAGATAATCAGCAGTGATTATTTCTTCATTTGGTAGAAATCTGCTGTTGAAAATGACCATGTTTTCAGATAAAATGCGGTGTATCTCTCGGTAGAGGGGGGCTATAAAGAAGTCGACGGTCTAGGTCGAATCTCCTTTTCCTGAGCTTTCGAATGGTATATAGGTTGCTGGGCGAAAAAACTAACCAGTTTTCAAAAATGGGGTGGAGATATTTACTATTAGCTTGCTCCAACCCAGCTCCACCAATGTATTGGCTTTTATCGGTTACCGGAGCAAATGATTTTTAGAGCCGGGAAGCGAAGAAGCCTTAACATGTTGTATACCATTCGAAAGCTGAGATCATGGAAAATCGACGTGGACCGTCAACTTTTTTCTAGGTCTTCTGTGCCGCGAGATATAAGGGATTTTATGTGCTTCAAAAATTAACTGATTTTTTGTCCTCACTTTCTGCTCTCCAAATGAACCGAGGATAAATAAATAATATAAATAAACATAAATACCGTTTCTTTTGTAAATTTATGAGTGTACTTGTTGCTTAAGGTACTTAGCCTGCAAAACCTTTTAATAACGATTTTTATCATATTCTCAGAGTAGAATACCAATCTCGGCCCAGGTGAAGGGGGTCATCGGGAGTTTGGCCTCAAAGTGAAGGTGGTAAGATCCATCACTCCCCCTATCGCAACTATGATCCCGAGTGACTCATAGCCAGCGGCAGATGCAGAACAGCTTTGCAGGAGAATCTCGGGAAGTACAGGCAAGCCAAGATACAGGATCTTCCTTATCTGCTTATCGCTTCTGTGGACGAAGCTACAAGCGGTTTGTGAAAAAATCATACATAAAACAGGCGAAATTGGGCACATTGTTGCACTTTTAGCTGAGCTTGTGGCTTTAAAAATTTGAAGTAAGCTAGCTGCATGTTTTGGCCCAGCATTAAGGCAAACGTGGCTCTGTACGGCTAAATTTTCATTTTCACGCATAATTTCTTAGCAAAAAAAATGGCCTTTATTGGTTTATAGCTTCAGAAAAGCGATGAGCAGATAAGGAAGACAGATTTAGAGTCAGTGCTTCATGTTGCATCTCGTGGTATGCAGCTTGTCTGGATTGGCCACTTAGACTTCTGACCATTCCCTTGTAAGCATCTAAGAACAGCATATTTGGAATCAGCATTCCACGCTAATTCCAAGTATATGTGTCTCATCTCAGTAGGCAAATCTGAGTCAGTATCCTTCCTTTGTAAGTAAGTAAGTATGAGATGTGACCAGTTGTGGCATATCTTTTTGCTTGCTCGTTTATGATTATAGTATCAGTGAAGAAACTGTACCGCGGATGTGCACTCAATTTTGAAACTCCACTTTAAATTGTTCCCGTTTCAGTACTACGAAATCTGTCATAATGAAAAATTATATACAACAGCTTCCATCTTGAAGTAACTGCTTTATTGTGCAAAAAATTGAAACATTCATAAGCAAAGCAGGAGACATTCGTAAGTGTGCTTTGTAGGCATACATGTTGAATGTCTTACTTTCTATAAAAAGCAAAGCATTTGCACACTAGAATTTTATCAAAAAACCAAGCCTTTCGTACACATTCTCCAGCTGTGTATTCTCCAGCCTGCAATATCACATAAAGTTACTTTCGACATTTCCAGCGAATTGCTTATGACAGGTATATTAAGGAAGCATGACGAAATTTTCTAGCATAGAGCATTTCGCTCATGGTGCTCGAACCAAATAGGATGTTGCCCCTGCCCCACTCAAAAGAAGGGCAGAGATAGGGAACCTAGTGTATAAAGTTGGAGGTACATTTTAAATGCACGAAGAGAGAGAAGTTACAAGGGTTAGGAGTGTAGAGAACATAACCACCGTGGGCTAGGGAGTTGTGCTTATTGAAGGTACTACTTTCATATTAGAGCAGGGCAAACCAACTTCTTCTGATTAGCAGATCAAACGGGTGGAGGAATAAACACTTCAATTAGGCACCGCTGTCGCGGATTACTGGTCCCAACACATGCGCAACAGTAGGCTCCCGCCAGAGTGCCGAAGTTATGCCAGCGCTATGCCAGCATTTCGATCGATACACGTGTATTTCGTTGGGGTGGGGCTAGCTCAGCAGGTAGATGTCCCTAACGAAATACACGTGTATCGATCGAAATTCTGGCGTAGCGCTGGCATAACTTCGGCACTCTGGCGGGAGCCGTAGGACCGGCAGCGCGCGTGCCTATTTGAGATGTTCGTTCCTAACCAGATCGAACCACCGTCACTAACGGTTATTTATATGTATAATGAAACTGTGCAAGCCAGTAGTTTTTGCTTGTGAATTCTGGGAACTATTCGAAATTTTATAACAACATTATCTCTGTAAAGTTCTAACGTGGAGTCGATGGGGTCGCCAACGTTCTTTATCGGACTTTTGAAGTCAAATTTCAAGAAAATCAAAAAGTATTGAAAAAAATTTTCTTTCGCTTAATCTCTGCTGCGAAATGTCGGCAGGAGGACTTTGCATGCAATCGGAAAGTTCACACCTAGTGCTCACATCTAACTCACACCTTCGCCTCTCCTCTCTCTCTCGTCTTCACATTTTTACTGCGGCTAGGAGGAAGGGAGGTGGGGGCACACGAGTTATCCATGCAATGCTGTCAGGTTATCGACCTTCTGGCGATATAAGGCTGCTGATACTACAACAAGGAATAACAAACTCATCTAACATCTTAAGGAATTTTGTAGGTGAGAAGATAAATTTGCGGTATGTCTCGTTATAGATTGGGCTATTGCTGCAAAGATCTGCGAGCCTATCCACATCCACACTGGCATTTCGCTGTAGACAGAAATGTGGAATTTACAGTGTAAATGCGACCAAAAGTGTGTCTCTTGAGTAGGCATAGGTCGACCGATTTCATCGAAACAAACCTGGATCTATAAGTGTCTATTTTTGAACTTTTCAAATTGAGGCAAAAGCTATTTGAGCAGTTTTCTTTTTTCAAATGGTAGCGGTAGAGGAAATTTGCAAAAACCATAGCTGTTTCGATTCTTTTGATGCTTCGCACTTCTCGTTCTTTCTCAGTTCTATATACTGGGTTCTATATGTGAGGTGCGAAACTTCGCATCTCTCCGCAAACACTTGCACCTACGTCGCTTAATTACTCGTCGTTTGGAAAGTCACTTGCCTCCAGTATGACACTTTTGATATCGTTGCCGCCTATTTTTCTGATAATTTACTAAGCGCAAATGTGATGATTTCTTACCGCATTCAGACACTGTGTTACACACTGGCGCTGGGTACACTCGTCATGAGGCATACGTACGTAATAGCTGTTTACGACACTTGTTAGAAAGATGGGAAACAGCAAAAAACTGAACAGAAATAGATTCATGTTTGTAGATAGCAAAGGGCTTTTCCGCAGGCTGTGAAGTTCCAGAATCTGCAGTTTTAGACGCAAACTCTATCTTTTATATCACAAGTTTTATTTGTATATTCCGAACAAACATTTCTTTTGCTTTCTTGGTAAAATGGCATTTTTATGGCTTTGTGAGAGGCCGCAATATATCAGTTTTAAGCCTACAATGCATGCAATTTGTCTCACAAAACGGACTATAGATGATTGCAGCGGGTTTATCAGTGGAGAAATTAGCTATGAAAAATGAATGTATTCTCCAAGTTGTCCAAAGGCGACTCCCTCTACGTGGTCGTTAGCAGTTTTTATGGTAGTTGTGTTTCATAAAAGGGAATTTAAGTTGTTAAGAAAAGGTTAAACCGGTCAAATAAAAATAAAAGCTTACATATAGGGCATACCAACCACCTCGGTCGTGGGTACACCGGGGATTACGCATCGCGCGCGTGCCGCGAGCGAAGGAGATTGCACTCCGAGCGCGAAAGCTGGCATGCATCACGCACACTCACGACTGCAATCAATTTCTTTTGCAGTTTCGGTTGTTTTTTCTTTCTTTTTCATGCGTCTGCTCTTCTGCGACGTATTTGTCTTGTCTATAGAGTTGATTTTGGTTCATGGGGCGGCGTAGTTTTGAAGGTAAGCTTCGTAACAATAACATTGCATGCTGTCCTCTTCACAAAATGACGTTTTTAGTTTATGCTTATGTTTCAGGCGTGCGGCGATGAAAACTATTTCTATTGCTATAAAAAGCAGGTAGGAATTGTTATTTTTGTACCAAAGATATGACTGTAATGTTTCAGAGTCTTCTCAACTGAGTTCAATATATAAATAACGATTTCTCCTTGCGTTTTCGATAGCGATGAGAATACGTTTGCATCTCCGCACCTAAACATAAGCGTAAACTAAAAATGTCATTTTGAGAAGAGAACAGCATGCAATGCTATTGTTCCGAAGCTTACCTTCAAAAAAGTGTCGCCCCATGAAATAAAATCAACTCAATAGGCAAGACAAGTACATTGGAGGAGAACAGATGCTTGAGAAAGAAAGAAAAACAACCGAAATTGCAAAAGAGCTTGATCGCTCGTGAGTGTGCGTGATGTATATCAGCTTCCGCGCTCGGAGTGCGTGTGCGATGCCTAATCCCCGGTGTACCCACGGCCGATGGTGGTTGGTATGCCCTATATATTGCTGTACGTTACGAACTGACTAAACTTCTCGATTAACCGAATATGTATTGAACTTTCGATAATCATGTCGTATGTCATACGCGAGGGCGTGCTGGTTCTTCCACAGTTTGATTTGTAACTAAAAAGGTGTCATTACCAGCTGAAAAAACCTCCGCTAATATACCTTTTGGCGAGAATATTAAGTATGAAAGCCAAGAAGCCTGCAATTTGAGTTGTTGAGTTCTCTGTTCCCCGTGGGGTTGATCAGCATGCTCGATTACACCCCTCTGCCAAATTCCAGCCCCCTAGCTCAAATTTTGCAAAAAATCGATAAAATCGACATCGATCGATAACGAAAAGTGGACTGTGACACCCGCCGGGGCCTGAAGTGTATGTGTGCAAGTTTGGTCCGGATCGGTTAAGAAATGGAATTTTCTATTAGGAACTTACGGCGGAGCCGGGTAAGCCAGTTAGTAGTGAAATATAATAAATGTGATCCAACTACCGCTCAAACATTGCATGTCATGGCTGAGGCTTTTATGGAATACATCAAGCTATGGGGGTCGCGCTTCTGGACGCCGAGTTATGACCGTTCTTCGGAACGAAAAATTGCAGAATTTAGGTAAAATTGACTGTTACAATCTTTATTGCGCTCAGATAAAGCAATGATAGGTATTAGCATATTAAAATGCATCCATTGCATAAACAGTCTGATACTTGACACTGGACCATTGCAAATTTGGGCGATTCTGCTTCAGTTTTGCGTTCAATTTTTTGACCTGAAAAACGAGCATAACTCGGCATCCAGAAGCGTTTGGCAGATTTGGAAAGCAGATTTGGAATCACCGATTGATGCTCTTCAAAGCAGTATGGATCTCATCTGGAAAGGCCACTTCGACTCGACACGGTTCCCTTGTCAGTTTTTTGCACTTGGAGCAGTCGATGGGGCTTTTGGGACCTGTAGACAGGGCTCGGCACGAGCTGGCACCAGGAAAATTTCAAAACGAAGTCCCGCTTGATATTGAAAATTTCGTACGAATTCCCTTTTGACCTGTTTTGAAAACACGTCATCATTTTTATATTATTAGTGTTTTCATGCATTTCTGATTTCATGAAAGAGCTTTTCACAGCTTTCTGAGCTTTTTAAGTGGTCGAATCACATCTTGAGAAGAAGAAAAGCCTATTTTTCGACTGCGAAGCGGGCCGAGTGGTTTTCAAATTGCTATAAAACGCTGAAAAGAGAACATTATGAAACTGTTTCTTCTCCGTATGTAATCTTTTACAGTGTAGATACATTTTATGTAAAAAAGTATGAAAACTTATGTGAGCAAAGTGTCGGTGCCAGCTCAGCTGGCACCCAGCTGGCACGGTGCCAGCTAATTCAGAAAAAAGTTAGGCACAGCTTTCATTCACATAAGTTTTCATAAATTTTTGGCTCATAGTTCCGGTCCACCAACGCGCATGCACACACCAAATTTGGTGTCATACTATAGCGTTTTGGCTGAAAACAACGTCTTTGTTTGTTGATGGACAGCTTGCCAATGGCATGCCGGTGGCATGCCGGCGGCATTTTTGCTGCAGTTCTCCGCCTCGGCCCCTGTATATCCCCTTTGTTTTCGCCATAAAAACGATATCCAGCTTGACCCGGTGCCAGCTGTGCTGAGTCCTGCCTGTAGACTGTCCTTCAAAAGGTTTGCAGATGTCTACAAGAACTACCTTACATCTTGTAAACTTGTAACTAACTCATCTTGTAAGACAAAGAAGTTTCTGCACCGCAATGTTGTGCGTATCGCGTCGTCTCACACCGTCATCAGGCGAAATAAGAAGTCGTCGTTAGTGGGTTAATGCCCGTTCAAAGGGGTTGGTTTGCACTCATTATCAAAGTTATAGAAATTCGCACTTTTTTGTTTCTGAACTCAAATCAAATCAGTTGTGCGTTCAGTCATCCGTCTTTGTTATTTTTGCACTGTCATGAGATCTATGATTATATTTGACTTTCTTCGTCGTTTACAAGTGGAGTAATATAAATGTTTTGAGAGCTAATGTTTAGAAAAATAGCTGATCCGCCAGCTTTTTTTGAGTGTTATGTATGCAGATCAGCACTGATCACAATAATGTGAGCTCGCTGCAAAACTTTACATTGTCCACTAGTAATCATGAACTAAACTCGTGCTAAAAGGGTAAATAAAATGCTCGTTTTTGCTAAGAAGCCACATTAAAATGTCCAGCTGCTTGTTTTGATTTGCTTAAATGTGGCGTCTTAAGTGCTAAAAAAACGTATGTGTAGTTATGCACTTTACATAAGAATTTGTATGATAGCAGTTCATAATGTATCTGCTGCACTAAATGATGCGCGTCCAATGATGCGAAATTACTCGAGTCTATTTTCAACACAACACCTGCTCTGGCGATCGTTATTTCCAGAAAACAAGAAGCACGCCTTCACCCATTAAAAGTGAAAACATTGAAGCAGCAGATAACAAGGTGTCGATCGCTTCAACATGATTGTGTGCTAAAAGACTAGAAGGTCTCACCATCATGGTCTTCTCACTGCAGGGCAGAGAAGATGTACAAGAAAATTCAAATATTTCCCATATATAATTTATACAAGAAAAATAATTTTTGGACTTTATATGTAACATAACACGTCTTATGCAGGCTTCAATGTCAAAATATCAAATGGATGTAATAAAGTTTCTCAAAGGCAGGAATGAAATCGTATTCCTTAGTTTTATGAGAGAAATATGGTGAGCAATGGCTGGCTGTTCCATTACTGCCTGTGGTCTATGTTTGATAAAGGGTACAAAAGTGGTAAAGGTATACCTTGAGAAGACAACATCATGCGGCGTCATTGCTCCCTCCCCCCCCCCCCACACAGTGGTGTTGCAACGACGCCGCACGTTTTCTTCTCAAGGTTTTGAGAGATATCAGCTATTAATAACAGAAGTTATAGTTAAAACTCGAAATATTAGGTTGGTGCAAAAATAATGTCCGTTTTGAAAAGATTCGAAAAGTTATAAATTCATCAAGTTTTCTTATTTTTAAATATGGTCAAGATCATTGGAAGCAGTAACCCTTCCTAATATGGCGCACTCCTACTCGTACTATTATTGTACTCATACTGATATTGCAAACGGGAAGAAGAACATGAGTCAAAAAACCGAGTTTCTTTTTTAGAAACCTTACAACTGCCTTCAAGTATTCCCTAGAGCTGATTTATCAGCTCATTTTGTAGCCCCAAGCTAGTAGTAGATGCGTATATGGAAAACACTTCAACGAGGGATTCCTGCGAAACGGAAAGATATTAGGTTTTCGGATAGTTTCTGTTACACTTTTTATTTTAATTCTTAAAAATCTCAGAAGCTTTGGAAAGATCTCATGTTCACAGCGTATGGGCAGTGTCAAAATGCCTATACAAGGGTACCGTCACATCCGCGATCCGTGCGCAAAACACCCAGTTTGTGGCTGAAAATCCGTTTCTTTCCATTTTTGTAAATGAGTTGACGTTCTCTCAGGTGATGACCAATAGACCGAACAATGTGGTAATCAGGTGGGGCATAGTCTGTAGCGTTTAGCTAATATTGGGGGATAACGCAGGCATGTCTGCACACGTTTCTGTGAGCGGTTCAACCCTCAGTGTGCGCCATCTTTGCAATCATAGGATTTACGAAGAAAACGTCTTCAAAAAATTTCAAAGTCATTTTCATGTTTTCCGTATTCATTTCTATACAATGTACATAAAAAGAAAAATTTAGGAAAGTTTTTGAATTTTTTTATATTTTTTCAACCCCTCGTTTTTGAAACGCTACAGGCACCGGAATGCCTCTATGTAAGAGACAATGCCAAAATACGTTCTAAAAAAATTCCGGAAGAGGGAAAGCGCAAATAGGTGCAGAGAAAAAGGTCAGACAAAAAGTGAAAAATATGACTACTTTTACAAAACCGCTATAAGCTTGTTGGTCATTAGTGCACTTGCGGCATCAATCATGCTGGTAGGTAGATCCTGCTTTGTCCTAAGCGTGTTGCAAATTTGGGGTTTTCAGAAAGCTTCTGGGATTTCTTAGAAATTTTAAAAAAAAAGTGCAACAGAAATTAACCGACAACCTAATATAAATCCAAACTCGTCTACCTTTCTTGAGCATGTTTGTGGTTATGGTTAAAGCTGAAATCCCCAATTCATAAATACTTAGAATTCTGCATGCACTGTATAGCTGAGTCTCTCTGCAATAATTGTAGGCTAGAGGTCCTAATCTCAAGCTTACAGAAATGAGCAGCGACTGCCTTGACCATAGGAAATTTTTGACCCATAGGGTGCAGCAACAAGTGTTTATATTGACGCGTCGATATCTCAGTCTAGATAATTTCGAAAAATCTACCCAAACATGCGATAAATAATCGTCCTTTACCGTAACTATGTTTTCAAAAGAATTCGTCCAATTGCGCCTGAACTGTGGCCGAGGAAGTAGAGGTACTAAAATTTGATTTTGAGTGCAGATGCGCGAAATACTAGAATTCTCACAAATGAGTATAAAAGCCTTAGTGAACCACTCTTGGAAAGTACGTAAAGAAAGATTTCCAATAATATGAAATATCTGCACCGAAAAAGAATTGATGGAAAAGTTGTTTGGAACATAGACCTGGAAAAACGGACATTATTTTTACACCAACCTAATAACTTCTAATTGCTCGGACGATCGTTCTCAGATCAGTCAGACAATGTAAAAAAAACATGCGTAGAACTACGGAACTGTCAAAACTTGTTAATTTTGTAAATTTTTGATTATCAGGTTTTTGCGAATATAACTTGTCCCTTGTGTATTTTTCTGCTGCATGGTTTATTGATAGGACATACATTTACTCGCTTTCAACTGCCTGCGTGGTCATAGATATCTGAGTATATGAATTTATCTGATCTCGAGGGTGGGGTGATGTTTTTGCGGTGAGTGCGTTAAGTAACGCGCCGAAGAACTCGTCAGTTTGGAGGCGCAACACCCCAGGATGCGGGGTTGGTAATGTAGAACAGTCGAGCACAGCTAGAAGTGGCACCCACTGAGTCGCAACATGCTCGAAAAGGTGAATAAGTTTCTTTGGGTAGGGGAACGAAAGCCGCCAGTTTGAGACGCCTTTAGCGGCCAATTGGTCCTTTCGCAGTGTTGTTGCTTGTCGTCCCAGGACCAGCAGTCCGCGGAGGCGGCCCAGACTGGCGGCTTTCGTTCCCCTGCCCAGTTTCTTTTCTATTTTATCAAGTTCAAAGATATGCGCCTCATCGAATCTTTATCTATTCGAATAACCGGAAAAACAAATATCATCCTATAATTCATGTTCGGAGGGTATCAACAGCGTATCAATATTCAATATCCTGTTCGAGTTTTTGGATAATTTAAGTTTTCGTAGAATCTACGAAAATCTTTGATCATAAGTATTCACTCTCATTTTTGAGAACCGTTGGTGAAATATCTATCCCTAATGTCGCGTGTTGCTTTTCTGTTGTACATAAAACCTACACTTCTTGAGCTTAAATCTCGTTAGATTTTAAAGCTCAAGTGTGTGTTTATATATAAGGGCATGCGAGCTTACCGACTAGATTGTTCTGCACTTACCTTATACTGAAAACTTTGTATGTTGAGCGGTTTTGTTATGGTGGTGATGTCTTTCACATAGACAGTTCAATACTTTCATATTCTGCCACCAGTGACTCATTTGTCTCTATCATAGTTCTTTCTTTGAGATTCACGAAATGAAATGCAGTTGCAGGATTACACAAATGAAGATTTGGTGCATGTCATTGACTGGCGTCGTAAAAAGTGGTGTCAGCGATTATGCAAACTGGGACTGATATATTATATCAAACGTAGTACATACTGCAATTACCAAATAGCATCGAACTATTCACTGGTAAGACAAAAATCTGTTCCTGTCTTCTATTCTTAAATGATTGATGTATCCAGATGTCTCGCCCAATTACTCTTTTGCTCCTGGCATCCTTAATCCCCCAGTCGACCTGTTTTCTTGGCTTGGGAAGATTGCAGTCAGTGGCAGTAAAAGGAGTTTTGGAATGTAACGGAGCGCCAGCAAAAGATGTCAAGGTTAGGCTTTACGACAAGCAGATATGTGAGTTAACTTCTTAGTTCTAATGAACATCGATTAGTAAATCCTCCACATTCAGTTTTTGACAAGAGACTGGACGAAGGGAGGACACTTACGTCCGGCAGCTTCTATCTTTCCGGAAGCAAACGAGAAATTACTAACATCGATCCCAGACTTTACATCTACCACTCATGCAATCTCCACGGAGTATGCTTTTTGTTTTATTGAGTTTTGGTGCACTCAAGAAACCAACTTTGTAGCCCTGCTCCAGAAAGGTGGTGATGACCATCCCTGACAGCTTCATAACTAGCGGTCGAAATCCGCAGAAGGTGTTCAACATCGGAAGGGTCAACCTTGCCGCCAAGACCAGGGGAGAATCTATAACCTGTTTGCATTGAAATCATTAGAATTGTCGTTTTTCTCTTCAGCAATTTCGAATATTAAATATGCATTAATTTGAAACATGTTTTCAAGATAAATTTTACACGACTAGCATCAGTTACACCAAAAGCCAAAAGATTACAGGGATAATTCAAACTAAAAAACTATAAAGAAGTAGGGTACACTCAATTCTGTAGAGGTTAGAAAATCATCAAGCAGAGCATGTTTATTGCCCAGTCGGTTATGAAAAACTGATATTCGCTTGCATAGTTTTGATTAAGACACATTAGGCCAAATCCTCGCCGTCCTGGAAAAAATTCTGCAAACGAAGAACCCAATCTGTTTTAATTATATGTTCATGAGAAGTGGCTGTCAATTGTTAACTACTGATTAGGTATATCATGCTTTTCTCCAATAAGCGCAATGAGTTCGTTCCAAAACAGATGAAGACCGCAATTTTTTGAACGTCGGAATCAATGAGATATAGTTATCTTACTTGGAAGAAGCCTCAGATGCAGGAGCTAGTGATAGTTAGATATGGCTGTATGTGAGAATTACGAAGAAAATAATACAGATTTTTAACCCACAGTTCCGCAAGTTTTGCTAGTTCTGCTTTCATCTGAAAAATACGTTTTCCCACCAACCAGCTCCTAGCATTTGCATTTGACTTTAGTATTATCAGAGAAATTGGCAAGCCTTATAAAGAACCCAATATTAGCTTTCAACTATTACATCTTTCGTCAAGCCTTATAAAGAACCCAATATGTTCAACTATTACATCTCTCATCCCACAACATCTTCTGTCAACATTCAAATTACCCTTAGGGAGTCGGCTCAAATTCAGATTTTACGATACGGTCACCGATCTCTCATTATCGTAGAATCACGATAGGGACAAAGGGTTTTGAGCCATAACGGGCCGTTTCGGCTCAGGAAAAAGACCAAACGAGCTGAACAGTTTTACACTATGCCGATCAAAGTCCCAGACTCTGGGTATGAACTTCGCAACTCATAATGGCCTCTAGCAAAACTTTTGCGAGATATGTCACAAAAATGTTTTCTATTTTCTTCCCAAAATTGTGATTTCAATGTGTTTTCACTATTCAAAATGCTTAAAAACTCGTGAAGACACTACGTTATGAAATCGGCAGCAACGACGGCCTTGCTCGACATTTATAGTCTGCCCCAATCCCAAACAGGCCAAAATTGGCATGGCGGGAGTCCGCGTCGCTAGGGTTTCGAGGTCACGCCCACGCCTACTTGTCTGCTTCCTCTTCGATCTTCTCGCTCTCTCGCATGTGCAGCGCAAACGCCGAGCGCTGCGAGCGCGCAAATTTATGCAGTGGGTTCGGCCTGATCTCGATCGGTGCAAACTGTACTGCTAAATTTAGAGTAAAGCCGTATCCCGTATCATTGTTTTTACAGCAAAGCTGTATTCTAATCCGTAATTTTACAATAATGAAGGGCATAATTGCGCATTGTGCTCTATAGAGGAAACCGAAGTTAAAGTTAACCTTACGGAATGGTATTTGGAATTTGACAAAGACTTTGTGTTAAGAGACCTAGAAATCAGACAGTGTATTGCACTTTTGGGACACCCTGTAGTTGTTTCAAACTAAGGGATCGCTTGCGTATTGTAGTACTCGAGACTCCACTTACATGCGATGAGCTCTACCTACTGCTTACAATTTGAGATACTCAAAGGCGGAAGTATTGACATTTGATTTTGCACGCAGACAACAAGTCACGTCAGTCAACAGTTACATGTATTTGCCTTTCGCTCTTTTGAACGTGTTAACCTGGGGCAGTTCCATCGAAATCTCAGGAGAAACGTGTCAAAAAGACGAAAGGCGTCGCACCACGTACGCACGCTGGTTCACATGGGAACTTTTCTGGTGCACACATGATGCTTGAGAAATAAAGACGCTATTTAACATTGCACAACTATAGGCTGATGCATGACGAAGGCGCAATATCTTCGGGCGCAAACGCGGCTTCATTAACCGCAGAGCGCATAAGGCGCGGAATTTGCAATGGTGAGAATACTCGCGCGTCGCGTTCGCGCCCGCTCAACTGATACCGCTTCTGCGCCTTCGTCATGCAATAGCCTTTAACTGAAGCTTATTGCCGAAAAAGTTTGCAGCAAAACTCGATAGATGCGTTGCTGATCTTTCGAAGATTACGACATATAATCAAAACGTGTTAACCTCGAGTAGATGATAGCTTGCATTTATATTGATCGATGGCCAAATTTACAAATACAGCGGAATTTTTTATGATCTTGTTACTTTTGCTGTTTGATCCAGCTTTCTCCGTCATAATTTCTTCTCTTTTCTTTTGAATTTCTCTGATTTAATTTCTGGTTTAAGGTTGTAACTTATAATCTATGGTTTCGTAGCTGTTCGGAACAACTGTAAAACAACTATAAAAGTAGATTCTCCTGTTCTTATGCGTATGCACGTCGCTGGATATGCTAATTATTCCAATAATCCTCTTTTCTCAACCAATTTTTTCTGCTTTCGCTAACGGTTTCTTTGTGATAGATGGGTGGGAGGATCTGTAAAATTTTTGAAAATGAAAAGAAAACTTTGGAAAAACTTACATTAGTGCTTGTATAACATCCTACCCCAAGTTTCCTCCCTCTGTTTTGCCCACAATATGTTTTTTTTTTGAATTTTGACGTGAAGATACAGCATACTTTTGAAAGTATTGGTAACGCCTAATTATCAACATTCATTTGAATATCTTTGTTTGGGAAAAACACTCTTGCCGAGATAAGCCAAAGCCCAGGAAGAATTTGCAGCTTGGCCCAGTTTTAGCGGTGTCGCGTCCTGGTTGCGACACCGAACGGTTTGCAAAAATGTAAGGATTGAGTAGGAATAAAGCGAGAAATTTTATTTGTTTCGCTTCTGAAACCTAAGGCGAATCCGCTATTGCAAAAAGTACCCCAGTAGTTGACATTTTAGTTACTTTAGATGGCATCCATATCTGCGAGTCGGTGGTATTAGGTTGGCTGAAAAATAAGTTCGGATGTTTTTTGGCGGTTTGTGGGAATTTAATTCATTCATGTAAGTTATGGCACCGTTGGGAGCAAGTCAAGAAGATTTGGAAGGTCAACTCCATCCAAGCGACAATCACTGTTTTGCCAACAAAAATTGCAGGAAAGTGGAATAGTCAGGATTTTTCATTGAGTTTTCGAAAAATCACGCTTTGAAAAAGGAACTTAAGTTTGGTGTAAAATGTGCAACTGGCTCCCACACAACAATTTATGGAAAATGTCACATTTTCAGCTGCAAAAATGCACAAACAGCGAATTTTTAAAACGCTAGCCATATAAGGGCACAATTGTCATTTATTGATGACGAAAAATGTTGAATATCTGATATGTGATAGTAAAGGCTCGATGCTACTTCCTTACAAAAAAATCTCACCTAAATGAATAATTCAAACTGTCATAGAGGTTCGAATTTGCATGTTAGAGATTGAACTTATTTATTAGCCAACCTATAATTAGTAAAGCACCCATGTACGGGCCACACACTTGTTTCCCATTTATGGGCCAACGATTTAGTTATTGATGTCCTTAAAGCATTTTCTTTATATTATGTGAGTTTTTGGGAATTGTAAGGAGATATTTTAAGTTGAGAATGCATACGAAAAAGCATGAAAACATTCAAAAAACAACGTTCGCACACACATTACAGAGCAGATGGCCATGAACTTTTCCCCCATGGAATCACTTGCGCATCAAACTAACAAAATCAAAAGTGCAGCACAGCATGAGCTGATATCTGCAAATTTTGCGAGCAGGTTTCTGTTAAGTTCGCGGAATTTTGAGAACTTTTGCTGACCTCAAGTGATTGAGAAGAGATGCCAAATTGCTAAACCGAAGGTTCGTTAGCATTTGAAAATTGTAACTTCCTTCTATTCGGATGTTTTGCAAGAAATTATTTTCCTTAGAACAAATCGTATCTTTCCAACAGTATTTCGGAAGCTTCTTATTAAGGTCGTTGCAGAAACAAAAATTGAAGAAAGAGATTATTCGAGTTTTAGCGATTTTAAGCAGGCCCGTAAAACTCAACTATGCAGTAAAATCCAAAACTGTCATTAGCATAGGTCTTCATCCTCTTTCTATAACAATTGGACAAAGTTTGTGTTGTTGATCGAGCTTGACCGTGGAAACTCATATTTCTGAGAGGAAAAAAGCCAGAAAAATTCATCATTTTGAATAGTTTTCTCAAGAACTAATATGGGTGTCATATATGCCTTTTTGTAGTAGGACAAGAAATGTTGAAGGCAGCGCTCGGCAGGTTCTCGACTTGGAGTTTTTTTTGCTTACCTGGCGTAATTTGAGGCGCTGATTTCGAACCCCCAACCTTTCCACCTTAAAGAGCGCGACAATGGCAAAAACGACTTTTCTAAAGGCCTCCCATTTTGAATTTGGACCAGTGGAGCGCGTCGGCCATGGTTAGAGAGGCAGAATCGTTGCGGGACCCTCGCAGTTATAGCATTGCAGCATGCCTTCTCTGGCAGTCAGGGAGTATCGCAAGCTCGTCCGCGCGTATTAGAATGGCTTGCGCTTAACGGGGTTTCCTAGGCAAGGGCAGCATGTTGTGCGCTCGGACCTGCTCTCTTCTCATGTTTGGGATGCAAGCAACCTTCCATGTCAAAATTTCGGGATGTTTGGTTTTGGCTAGCTGCTGCCTTCAAGTGACACTATTCTATAATGTGCGCAATGTTCATAAACTGGAGGGAATATTTGGAAGAGTGTTCTCTAACAATGATTCATTTCTGTAAATTGTCGAGAATACATTCCGGAGCTTCAAAAAAAATTCGTTTGCATAAGACTGTCAACAAAGTGTCAGTCGATTACTGGATAAAATGAATTAAAGGAGCTTCATTAAGTGTATATAGGTTGTTGCCTCTGTCGTCTTTTTTTTGTGATTCAAAATCTTAGCGCACATACCAGTACGTGAAATTGTCCTACTGAGTAAAGTCATGTTATCGTTGCATCTATTTGCGTTCTGAATCATTTGGAACCGGTTGTTTGGAATATTACTAAACCAGCAAAAACTGCACTCAAAGTTCTGATGCAATGGTGATGGCATA